TTTAAACACACGGGGCTCTCCGCGCGAGATGAGAGACCTTTTTTGACCGATACTGAAAACATACGTGGAAACATCTGAGCGGGCCGCATTTCGTCGAGTCACCAGTCCACCAGCACGCTCGCCACGTTCGCGAGCAATGCATCATCGCGAACAAGAGTCGTCCGAAAATATCCGAAGCAGCAATCACTGATTGAAATCCATGTAATTTCGCCGAGCGCCGTTTCGCCGATGTCGCGAATAGGAAAAAATGCCCTTTAGCCCTTATAGAAATTGAATACCGAAAAAGTCCAATCACCATCATATAACGGTGCTTTTAATCTTCAAAATAAATATAATTACTTACTATTTTTCAATATTAAATTTCTACAAGGAATAAACGTGACATTTTTCTTCTACTTATTTTGAGTTGTTCGATACATTTCAATACTCAAAATAAGTAATTTCCAGTGTTATAAGTTGAATATCTGTAAGAGATCGCCGCCGATCGCGCCGAGATATATCCCTTCTGTAGAAGGCTCAAATGAGCGTGGCGATGATTTTTCTCATTTATTTCATCGCAGCGGCGTGATTTAAGCCGATACGTAGTTACGTTCTCCGCTTTCGGTCCCCTTTCGGTAAGAGGGAAATTTCGCAATGTCATATCCCCCGTGCACGGTAAAACGCTAAGATCTCGTGCATCATCTGCCATACATGTAATTATAATTATTAGCGAGTATGACAATTTGATCCTACACGCTTGCATCATACCGTGCGTTGTACCTTCGTTTACAATCCCGTGACGCGGGATTAGCGTTTATCGTACACACAAGACGCGTTTTATGCCGTTGCATAAAATGATCTCTAATGATCTCTTGTAACCGTGCGAGGGAAGTTTAGTCCCCGATATCCGTAATCTCCGATAATCCCCCGGTAATCTCGTGCGAACACAGATTTCTCCTCCGGGGCACTCGGGAGGAGGAGGACCTACGTTTTCCGGTGACAATCGCGACCGGCAGGAGGAACAGAGAAAGAGAGAGAGAGAGAGAGCGAGAGAAAGAGGAAGATCGACTCCAGCGCTCATGCTTGTCACTCGCGCGTCACGCGCTCGCCGTTACGTTCGCCGACGATCTTCGTCGATCGATCTCGGAGCGGCGTCGAGGAGCGGCGTCGAGGAGCGGCGTCGTTGCAGCCCGCCGACTTCCGGCGAAGGAGCTTCGCAGCGCGACCAGCGGACGACGGACGACCGGCGGCGACGATCCGGCATTCCGCCGTCCGGAATTCCGGGCGCGATCAGCCGTCGCGGTCGCTCGTCGATCGAACGGACCGATCGATCAGCCGGCGATGAATCGCGACGGTCGCGGCGCGTCGACGGCGGCCTCCTCCTTCTGCTCGTCGGCGTGCGGCGATAACGGTAACAGCGTCGTCGTCGTCGTCGTCGTCGTCG